GTATTTGTGTCTGTGTATGTATGCGTGTGTGTGTGTTGTGTGTGAGTGTATGTGTGTGGTACACTAATTTTTAAATTTATTTCCCATTCACTTCCAAAGCTATTTGAGTACATTTATTGTGAGACGGATGGAATAGTTGATACATTTTCACAAAGTAATGTACTTGTCAATCAATAAATAAATAAATCAATCAAACAATCAATCAATCAATAAACACTGTTATCACAACAAAATGAGAATGGTAATGTTGATACGACAACGATGATCTGAAGATGCGATGATGATGATATTACGATGTTGACTGTTATTATTGTGAACCAAAGATGACGAAACAATAATAACTATCTTTTTTTTTTACATTCGGTTACATGGAAGCATCGAGATCGCACACAGCCTACCTGAATACACCTATAAGAGGCCGCTTCACATTCGAGCTCGAATGTGAAGCGGCCACTTTTAACAGCACACCACTCCTCCTAACTTCAATGAAGATTGAAATTATGAAAATTGAATAAAAGCAAGTGTACTAAGCTGGCTAAAACAAATTATCGTCTGATTTTAGGATTAACCATCCTGCCTGATACATATTGAAACACTCAAATTTTACAACACTCTAAATAATACGCTATTTTTCAAACTGTCACTGTAATAATAATGGTTTTGCCTTTTTAATTTCATAATTTTCTTTCTAATTTATTGTTAGCGTTGTAATCCAAAGATCAATTATCACATGCAACAAGAATCACACAATGAACTGTCTGTCTGTCTCTGTGGAGAGACAGAGAGAGAGAGAGAGAGAGAGAGAGAGAGAGAGAGAGAGAGAGAGAGAGAGAGAGAGAGAGAGAGAGAGAGAGATAGACCCTGGCGAAGTTCCACATCTAATTTATGTGGCCATGGGGTGGCAGCATTTAAAGCATGCATGCATCCATGCACACAAAAGTAAATAAACGTTGAATTACGGTTTTAATTATGCTCTCACCCATGCACACATGCACGTGCATCTGCCCACGCACACCATGAATACAAATCACGCACACACTCAAATATATATATATATATATATATATATATATATATATATATATATATATATGTGTGTGTGTGTGTGTGTGTGTGTGTGTGTGTGTGTGTATATATATATGTGTAGCTTGCCATAAACTGAAGAATGATACTTCTTGGTAACAGCGCTGCAAACTGAATTTAAAGTAAATTTAAAGCCCGAAAGACTCCGCTTAAAATTACCTAACACTTTTCAACAGAAGATATACTTAACACATTTGAACAAATGCAATATAGGAAGTTTGTAAACATAATTTGACACACGCAACACGCACACACACGCACGCACAAACAGACACATACATTCTCACAGAGATAAATACAAACCCGTATAACCACAAAGCACATACAAGCATAGAAATACGCGCGCGCACAGAGAAACACATCGACGTATGTCCAGCAAAAATTTTATTGAAGGAAATTTCTGTCTCGCTTAATTGCTTCTGAACTGAACATTGCAATAACATCATGCAATCGTAACAATAATTGTATCATTAGTTTATTGCTGCCAGAAAAATAATGCATACAAGTTGTCGCCATTTTGTCGTTTTGTGATGTTGTGACGTTTGTGTGGTTGTTGCGCGGTTGTTGCGTGGCTGGTAATTGTTGCGTGGTTGTTGCGATGTTGATGCGTGGTTGTTGCGTGGGGTGATTTTGTGTGTCTGTGCTCTAAATAGAACTTTACCAGATTTTGTTCCTTTTTTTAATTTGTTTTTGTTGATGTCGGTGTGGCAGAAGCGACAGAGGCAGTAAAAGTAGTAGTGATAGAAGCAACTGTAAAAATATTACTGTTACTAGTGTTAAAAATAGTAGTAGTGGTAGTAATTTAGTAGTGGTAGTAATAGCAGTAACTAAGTAGGCAGTTGTAGTTGTTGTAGCAGCAGCAGTAGTATTGTTGTAATATTGTTTAGTATTCTTACTAATATTGGTTTGGTCGGTGTTGTGGATACCTTGCATTGTCGCACTAAGAAATGTTTCATTTGCGTTATTGCCACTCATTTTATATCTAGCTCGTCATTAACTTTGTGATGTTCGCGGCTATCTCCCATTCAGCTGTAAAAAAAAATTCTCATTTTCACGTTAGCTTTCAATGTTGTCGCCAGTTATTAACTTTTTTAGCTTAGAGTTTTTTTTATTGATCAACCAGTTTAATGTTTAACATCGATGTGTGATTGAATGCTGGCCCTGCAAACGATATCTTCATGAGCGATTTATTGTGATGCAGTTGCACAAGAAGACTTCTAACTTTTCCATTGTAATCAATGTTTCCAGATTTTGTTTTTGTTGCTTGGTTTTGTGGTGTTGTTGTTGGTGGTGTTGTTAGTTTTGCTGTTATTGGTGTAGTAGTAGTAGTAATAGTAATAGTAGTAGTAGTAGTAATTGTTGTAGTAGTTATAGAGTAGTAGTTTCTCATAGGTAATCCAGCCTTTCTAGTACCGCTTTCGCCATCTTCACCGCTTCTATTAGCTTTGCCGTACCACTTCGTTTTGTTGTTGGATCCATAGAGCCATCAACGTAGATTTTAAGAGCGTAAATAAACAGCTGCACAGAGACGCAACTCGAGGTTCCTGATTATCATGGACCCCGAGTGGAAACAACGACAAGTTCAGAGCTGTTCAATGATGTTGTTGTTGCTCGTACGTATTCAATGAAGGCCGCCCATCACAAATTTCTGCAACCACAGATGCTCCAATGTTGATTCCTTGTATAAAAACTCAAACGATAGTCAGCATCATTTCCGACACAATCCTTATTAAAATTTACAAACACAACACAGCATGTTCACCCATTATAGAACAGCAAGTTCACCCGTCACAACACAGCATGTTCACCCATTTGTGTTTAGCATCCAATCAAAATAAATTAATCCTCATTTCCATTTCGTACAACTGTAAAATTATTATCACTGATGAAATGTAGCTTTCGTCTGCTTCCAATTATTACATGTAAGCATCGTCAACGTCATCATCGTCATTGTCGTTATCATCGTCGTCCTCATCATCACATCACGTATTCAATCAGTGACACTCCTTTCAACCTTCACCCCAACAGAATCTCATCTTGCCCAAAGCATGCAAACAAACAAGCGGAAACAAAATACAAACAAATCAAAAGTACGAGTAAACAAAAACATCAACGAGCAAATAAACTAAGGATCAAACGAACAAAAGCATACAAACGAACGAAAAAACGAACGAACGAAAAAACGAACGAACGAAAGAACAAACAATCAAGAATGTAAACATACATACCAGCCAACAAATAAACAAAAAACACAAACTAAGCAAACTAATAAGAACAACAAAAAAACAACAAGCAAATAAGCAAGCGAACAAACAAACAAACAAACAAAGGCGCATAACCGAATTGCCAACTAACATTTAGCGACCAAAGAAAACGTGACGATGACGACTTTTAATAACGAGAATGATGCATGCCATACATACACACACCCTGCATTGCAACACGCAACACACACACACACACACACACACACACACACACACACACACACACACACACACACACACACACACACACACATACATACATACACACACGCACATACATACATACATACACGCACATACACACACACACATTCGTATGTACAAAAACACATACGCATACACACTTTTGCACATACGCAAGCTAATACAATTATACATACATACATACAAACTCAATAAGATGCACACACACGTGCAAACGAACGTCTACACACATTACACAAGCTCCCATTAAGTTCAATTTCAGTTATATTTTTTATTAAGGGTGATAACTAATTTTCTAAAAAATAAAAATTCGGTGCAGTTGGCTATGTTGAAAAGTGTTGCCTAAGAAGGTGGGGGGTGCTTTGAATTTGATGGCCCCGCGATGGAATTCTTTCTTGGATCAGTATGATTGTAACAAAATCTCTGCATAAACTACTTCAGCCCATCCGCAACAACGTTTTAAAATTTCTTCGAGAAAACAAAACAATTGATTGAAAAATCAAATGAGAAATTTCTTATTCAATTGCAGTCGATGCCGTTGCAATGACAAAGATATTCAAGATATCAAGATAACAAAGTGTGTGGATGACATTTTTGGAAACCTGCCATGCTTCCATAAGACTGAACATTTCCAGAGCGACTGATCGTCAACTTGATGGCTGATACAATGGTAAAGGAAACGTCCATTGAGAAATGGTGCATCATTTCCATTTCATTCGCGCCTTACCAACTGAAACCACGTGAAAATTCGCAACAAACCAACTTAAATGATGGATAAGAATAGACAGCTTATTTGGTCCATCTTGCTGTCCACGCAAGCAGTATCAATCAATCAATCAATCAATCAATCAATCAATCAATCAATCAATCAATCAATCAATCAATCAATCAATCAATCAATCAATCAATCAATCAATCAATCAATCAATCAATCAATCAATCAATCAATCAATCAATCAATCAATCAATCAATCAATCAATCAATCAATCAATCAATCAATCAATCAATCAATCAATCAATCAATCAATCAATCAATCAATCAATCAATCAATCAATCAATCAATCAATCAATCAATCAATCAATCAATCAATCAATCAATCAATCAATCAATCAATCAATCAATCAATCAATCAATCAATCAATCAATCAATCAATCAATCAATCAATCAATCAATCAATCAATCAATCAATCAATCAATCAATCAATCGATCGATCAACTTATCGTCCAATCATCCATAACTTTGTGTCAGGCTTACCTCGACGTCAAGTATCTATTACGATCCAGCTGTCTAGCACATAAGCTTCATTAATTGCATTTTATTGTCACTAACCAGAATGATTTGATGATTAGAGTGTCCTATCTTCAGTCTCGTTGTGCAGTCATCTGGTTCGAACGCAGTTCGCTAGCATCTTTTAATTTAAAAGCAGAAATATGGGATACGTTCATTGACATGTGTGTGTGTGTGTGTGTGTGTGTGTGTGTGTGTGTGTGTGTGTGTGTGTGTGTGTGTGTGTGTTTGTCTTTAAAAAATATTTAAAACATAATTTCTGCCACTAAGCCATAACCAAATCTATAATGTAACCAGTCACAATAATTTAAAAATTTTTATATTAATTTGTATTTTTTGTTCAAATTTCATGTTACAAATAATTTGTTCAGTTATTGCAAACTGAAAATAAAACACCTTATTAAAACACAATTTTCAAACTTAGCATATAGAACTTTTTTAGGGTTCGGTTAAATTCTTGAAACATTTTAATAAAATTCGAACTGTTATTTTCGTATCAAACAATCAAATGTATAACATTAACGGCAAATTTTTTATGGTTATAATAAGCAAACACATTCAATCACTCACTCACTCACTCACTCACTCACTCACTCACTCACTCACTCACTCACTCACTCACTCACTCACTCACTCACTCACTCACTCACTCACTCACTCACTCACTCACTCACTCACTCACTCACTCACTCACTCACTCACTCACTCACTCACTCACTCACTCACTCACTCACTCACTCACTCACTCACTCACTCACTCACTCACTCACTCACTCACTCACTCACTCACTCACTCACTCACTCACTCACTCACTCATTCACTCACTCACTCACTCATTCACTTACTCATTCACTCACTCACTCACTCATTCACTCCACTCACAATTTAGCTCCACTAACAAAATGTTTACCCACATTTAGAACCTTTTATAACTAAAAGAACCTAAAAGCTAAAGAATTAAATTTGCTACTTTAGACGCAAATCAGATGTTCACGATTGCTTGTCAGATGTTTATTTTTCATCAAATTGATTCTTTGAAAACCATCTTGAAAGGCATTTAAGAAAAAACCGAATTCCTTATACAAACAACGGTCGAATTCACATAAGAACCAAGAATTCAAACAGAATTACAATCAATCAATATTTAATGTTCGATTTAGAATTTGACTATAATATTAATAATAATAATAATATTATTATTATAAATTTTAAATAACTTATAATTTATTTTATCTATTATCCATGTTTTAAAAATTGAAATTTTTTATTAAATTTTGACCAGATGGTGGGATTTAAATGATATATGAAGAGCGTTTGATGGAATGTCATCAATTAGCTTTTTTAATAAATGTCATCTGAACTCTGATACACAACAGCAAGTATTATATATTGGATAATCTGTAATTTTAAATTGCCTTCGTCATCTTCAACCTCAATCTATTCATCATCATCATCATCGTCGTCGTCGTCTTCATCATAATTTTTAGTTTCATAATCTCCATCAAACATCATCGTCATAATTATTATCATTTTCCATCACCATTGTACCAATTGTGGACATCACCATCATCATCATCATCATCATCTCGGTGGTATCTTCAACCGCGAAAATTTGTGATAGTATCCTTCATCATTGAAATCGCCGTCCGCATAATGCTAACATCATCTTCATTCTAAATGTCATCGGCAAATTGACTTCCTTATTGTCATCATCGTCGTCATCATCTTCGTCGTCATCATCATCATCGTCGTCATCATCTTCGTCGTCATCATCATGATCTCTATCCTCCACATTGACATCCTATCTGCCGCAGTTTGTTGCATATGAAGGACGGAAGGATGGAAGATCGAAACGGCAAACTTTCATTCATCCACATTCCGATGTTGTTGTTGTTGTTGTTGACGTTCGGTGACCATGGCAACGCATCTAGGAGAGGTCCCGTTAGGAAGAAACCACTAACTTCACATAACACGTAGGTCATTTAATTTGTTCTTGGTGGTGGTGGAGGTGGCAGCGGTGGTGGCAATGGTAATGGTGGTTGTGATAGTAGTGGTGGTAGTGTTGTTGGTGGTTGTGATGTTTTTTAATGTGTGCACGTAGAATCCGGGTGCCTCTGAGGCATGTACGTATGTACGAAAGGATGTTTGTATGTAGGACAGGGTGTTTGTATGTAGGACAGGGTGTTTGTATGTAGGACAGGGTTTTTGTATGTACGAAAGGATGTTTGTATGTAGGACAGGGTGTTTGTATGTTGGACAGGGTGTTTGTATGTAGGACAGGGTGTTTGTATGTAGGACAGGGTGTTTGTATGTTGGACAGGGTGTTTGTATGTAGGACAGGGTGTTTGTATGTACGAAAGGATGTTTGTATGTAGGGGTTAGGGTTAGGGTTTCAATTTTCTAACATTTGAATGTAAAGAAGTATAAAGGTGATGAATGCTTGTTTGTTTGTTGGTAGCGTTATTGTTTGCGTGCGTGTACGTGCGTGTACGTGCGTATACATACGCATGTGTACACTTTAGTATTATGCGTGTTAATGTTTATTTATGACTCGTTTACACGTGCTTCTATATAAGTTTATAGGTGGTCATCGGTCTGTGTAAATAATGTTTTTATGACCATCCGTATTTATGTGCACACACACAGAGATATATAAATAAATAAATGTATTTGTACATACATATCATTATTATTTATTGCATATATAAATTGATGTTAATAGTGTTAGTGCATAACAAATGTTTGTAAGCATTACACAGCCATTCAAACAGGCCTTATTGAAAACTACAAACAAAAATTTTTTTTCTACTGTTAGCTGAATTTTGATTTAATAACAAAAATATTCAGCGTCGAATCATTTTTCCATCTAAAACATTTTCAAATTTTTAATTGTCAACATGCAGTCGGACCCTCACGTCACCGAAAAATAACAACAACAATAATAATAAATATTATTTTTATTATTTTCATTATTAATTTGCATTGGACGTGTTACAAACTTTTATTGAAGCCTTTATTTCAATAATAACATTCTGAAAAAATTTTACAGCGCCACTTCAGTGCCCAAAAAAATGCCATTTAGATAACACATACATACACAAGCACATACAAACACACACCCTCACACAAACACACACACGCAAACAAACTCACACAATCACATACACGCAAACATACACACACAAATTCACACATAAACACGCACACGCAATTTATGGGTTGCGGCGAACACTTTTGAATACCCAAAAGGATACCGTAATACGCACATAAATACCTCCATAATACCAACAATGCAATGCAATATGGACGCTCAAAGTATTTTGACTTGAAGGTATGATTTATGACCTTATTTTTCGCTACTTTTCTCTTGATATAATTATAATATTAAAAATAATAATGAGAATATTAAGAGAATGTTGGAAATATTTTTTCGTTTAAAATTATGGATGTATTTTTTAATAAAATATTTATTTATTATCACTGTTATATCTTATTTTATTTCAGAACAAAATTTGTTTTCTAAATTTTATCATGAATTCAATATATTTAATAATTAAATACAACAGATTTAATAAAAGAATAATAATAATAATAATCATTTGAAATCGGAAAATTATGAACGAATACGTTTCGCAAAAAAAAAATCTGACATACAAGGTTGAAAGTAAAAAATAACAACTATAATTTGCCGTGGAGATGCGTGGAGAATAAATTAATTTGAAATAAATGTGAAAATATCAAACATTCAGGAATATAATTAATGTTTTTTGTTGTGTTGTTGGTTGACTGACTGACTGACTGTCTGTCCGTCTGACTAGGTGACTGACTAACTGGCTGACTGACTTACCGATAGACGAATATAATCGATTTGGGTCTTTATATCTTTTGTCATTTTTTTCATCAATAAAAATGCTGTTAGGTTTTCTGGTTGCTACGGTGATGGTGAGAATACTAATAATTAAGATGGATGATCGTCAAGTTGACATTTATTATTACAATGACAATGATGATGACAACGATGGTAATAGATTAATGAGTTTGTGATTAGTTGAAAAGATTTCGATTAGTCTTCATTTGAATATTTTTTTATGACTAGCCACGTTTCTTCTTATACTGATTAAAGATATCATGATAGCATCTGAAAACATATATGATATCAACAGCAGCAGAAACTTTGAAGATTTTTTATCGACAGGATACCTAGCACATTATAACACCTTGTTTGGGAACTAAAAGTCTTTAAAACCAGACTCAAGAAACAATATTTAAAAATTTCTATCTCTGCCAATGCTTTTTGGTTGAACTAAATTAATTTGGTATTATATAGGCAAAAAAATAAACAAATTTACACTCACAATATTTTGAGGATATATAAATACTATTTATAATTATTAATGTATTATATTTAATAATAATAATAATAATAATAATATTATTATTATTATTCAATTTATTATTGTTAATATTATTTCTCTTGTGATCAAGGGCCATCGATTTAAATGGTCGGCATACTTCTTAGGAGAATGATGATGATGAGAGGTGATGGATGAAGATTTATGATGGATGATGAAGATGAATGCTTCTTCATCTCCACCATTTCCATTTCTTCATCTTCATCATCATTCTCATCATCTCCACCATCATCATCACCTTCATCATCAATCTCTTCATCTCCATCATCATCATCTTTTTCATCTCCATCGTCTCCATCATAATTCTCATCGTCTCCATCATAATTCTCATCGTCTCCATCATAATTCTCATCGTCTCCATCATCATTCTCTTCATCTTCTTCTTCTTCATCTTCATCATCTCCATCTATTCACGTAGCCAGTGTTATTCTTCCAGACACGACTCTGCCTCGTTGGACCACGTTCTGCTTCAGTAAATAAAAAAACATTTAAAAACTTATAATGTGAAATGTAATAATAAAAAATTTCAAAATAAGAACAGCGAATGAACTACAACAGGATGTATTTCAACTGTTTCTAACTCGTATCTCTCTACAACGTACCGTTAAATGAGGCTTATTGAATATGCTACTAATGCATATTAAAAATTATTCTGTTACACGTATCTAGATGAATATTCAGATACAAAATTGTACATATAGTTTCACAAAAGCATACATTAGATACGAACATACTAACACTTGAATAACCCAAATATTTTTTCATTTTATTTCACTTCAATCATCATTCGTTATTTATTGAACACATACTTTTTCCAAGCAGAAAATTTTAAATGTTTAGTGTAAAAAATAGGAAGGTTGATGTTCTGTCATAATTATGCAAAAAGTTGTTTAGCTGATTGATGAACTAGTTGATAACTTATACAACTGTCTAAATCGTAAATTTGAAATATGGAAAGTTGAAATTAATACAAATTTTATGTAGGTGAAACTTACAAAAAAAAATAAATAAATTAAGATCTACAACTACGGAGATTTGCAAGCAGAAATTCTTTGATCAGCTGACTCGGAACATTAACCCTAGCAAGAAAAACGACCGAATGACGTGAGTGAAGGCAGCCAATTGCGTGCCCTGCTGCGTGAAAACAAAATATAAAAGGTCCATGGCGCTAATCGAAAGAGACACCTGAGGCAGTCCTTTGATCATGTAATCCGCTCTGATCCGCCAGTCATGCCAGCGTGTCATTTTGTGCTCATATAGTCATGTGACTATGTAATCATCTGAATCTATAGTTAAGTGATTAGAGAATCCTTGAATATTGGAACTATGTTGTCGTGCTAAATTTTAGCGGCGGTCAGGGTTAAAGGAGTCACAAATCTTAAAAAACATTCTCCGGGCCGAAAAAATTTTCTATTTAAGTAGATATGCGACCCTTCAAAGGTAAAATAGTTGTCAATGCGGCCCTCACAGCAAAAAGTTTGCCCACCCCTGCACTACCTGATGAATTAAAACACGTTACATGCTAGAAGCGAGAGTAGAAAAAGTAAATAGTTGTTTTTTGGAAAAATTTTTGTTACGTCAGAATTTTTGTTATAATGTATTCGTTTTAAAAAACAAAAAATGTTTTTTTTGTGTTAATTATTGTTATAATAAAATTTTTTTAATTTTCAAAGCCTCTTAGTAAAATTTTCAAAATCTGTATTCATTATTCTTACGGAAAGTCGCTGTTAGTGTTGTAGTGAGTGGGATGAATGAATTGATGAATGAATGATTGAATAAATGAATAAATGATGAATGAATGAATGAATGAATGAATGAATGAATGAATGAATGAATGAATGAATGAATGAATGAATGAATGAATGAATGAATGAATGAATGAATGGATAAATGAATGAATAAATGAATGAATAAATAAATGAATGAATGAATGAATGAATGAATGAATGAATGAATGAATGAATGAATGAATGAATGAATGAATGAATGAGTGAATGAATGAACGAACGAACAAACTAACTAACGAACGAATGAATGAACGAAATCAACCCATGATTGATTGCAAGATAAATTGTTTAAATGGTTAATTGTTCGTTCAAATGCTGGCATGATAGATTTCTTGACTGATTATAATTGAATGATTCATTGGCATTTAATTGTTCTCTAGATAAAGAACTTTTATTTAAACGTTAGAAGCATCACCTCTCTTAGAGGCAAATGAAACCCTTCTTTACGTTACTGATGGGACATGAATCATTTCATTGATTTGTACTCTTCATACATAGCACGGATAACAATGAAAAAGGTTATGACAGTTTAAAATAAAAGTTATTTTAAATTGAAAGGGAATTTAAATTGAAAGGGAATTTAAATTGAAAGGGAATTTAAAATGAAAGTGAATTTAAAATAAAATAGAATTTAAAATAAAAAAATCATAACCATAACTACCAATATATTTAGATAGTGTTAAAAGCAAGGTTCAACCATTTTTCAAGATTATTCATCAACTAAGTTACGCAATGTGTTGATTCTCAAGTCAGGGTAGAAAGCGAATAAAATAGTGACCCTTCAGACACGCGCACACACACACACACACACACGCGCGCGCGCGCACACACACACACCACAAACACACATACACAACACACACACACGTACACTCATGTACACGTTACAAATGCACACGTCAGAACTTCAGCCGGAATCAATTTTTAATGGAATGCTGATAAGGAAACTGAGTACTAAGATGCTCCTTTTTCACTCTCACAGTCAATAGCGGGTCCAGACTGCTTTCATAGTTAGAAGGATGGATGGATGGATGGATGGATGGATGGATGGATGGATGGATGGATAGATGAATGGATGAATGGATGGATGTACGGACATTAAGAAAGAACTCATAGGTATAAACTTGCACATCACTCATATACACATGCCGCTTGCCTACGCAACCTCCACACGTACATACGTAGCCGTAAATACATACAAATATAGATGCAGGTATAAATACGTACAACTGTATTTCTGTCTCTGAGAAATTACCAGGATTCTATAATAAACTACTCAAATATGTTTCAGCCAATGTTTAGATACGCATAAATATAGAAAAAAAAACCGTACACGCGAACACGCATTTTAACGTACAATACCTAAGCAGTACATAATCTTCCTACAAACATACGCAAACGTACACACACAACGATACACGCGTACACGCAAATGCTATATAAAAATACATGTACATATGCGTTTTTATATAGACCTTTTAAAACAAGATATATTTACAGATGCACGCATGTACACGTAATGTACCCACTCACAAACACACACACACACACACACACACGTACACACAGGTGCACGAACACACACACAAACACTGGTACACAAACACACACACAGCCCGTCACACCAAAGCAGAATGCCTCGTTATTTACGTATGCACCTCCTTCCATCCCGCAGGGTGAATTGAATTTGAAGATGAATTTGTTGGTCTATCAATTTTCAGCCCACTTCCCAGTCGAGCTCCATGCTTCTTTCTTCTTGCCAGCTGGCTGTTGGATGTGTGGCGGACCACACTTTGCAGTTGCTAACGTGCAGGATGTAGCTGATGACGTTGTTGATATTTTTAATGCTAACCATTATGCTGTTGACGCCATTGTCCACCTTCGACATTGATTAACAACATTGCCGATGTTCACGGGGCCAGTGTACACTGGTGTATAAAAAATATATAAATGTGTTAAATGCTACTACACACACAAACACATATAAACACACTCACAAACACAAATATATATATATGCCCGACCAAAAAATGCGCAAACAAATGGTAGATAGTAAAAAACAAAAAGATAAAAATAAGGAATAAATATTAGAGGAGTTAAAAATCCACCGTCGAATATTGAGTTAGTGAATGTAATAACCGCATCTTTTATTTCCGCGGAGTCATGCCCGTTCAAATAAAAAATAAATATGATGTCATGTCACGTGATTGCTTATCTATCATCTCATTGGTTGGTTCGCGGCGACCGAGGTGAAGGTCTAGGAAATATTTGTTTAACTCTTGCAGGCCATATATTTTATTGCGCTCCCCTAACGGTCCCCTCTACACTTTTTACGACCATCCGCCTCTCCATACACTCTTGTAGCCATGTACTGATCTAATAATATATGATATTTGATACTGATATAATGATAATTTGTACACGTCTTTGCGTGTTTTGTTACTTGGTAAGGTTATGAAGGCCCATGGTTAGGCACCTACATAACACAGGAATCAATGTTGATCTCTCTCTCTCTCTCTCACACACACACAGACACTCTCTCTCACACATAAACACACACACAAACACACACACGTACATGTGTGTTTTTGCGCTCAATATTTGTATGTGCTTACATGTTTGTTTGTTTGTTTGTTTGTACGTATGTAGTGTGCAATAGGTGTCCTTATGTACATAGTGTTCGTATGTGCCCAATTCTAGAAGTTTGTGTTTTTCCTGTGTAAAACCAGGTAGAACTGTGTGTCATTAGTGTTTTCCATCCGATATTTTATCGATAGTAATTAGAATATTTGAGATAATTATGTTAAATTAATGAATGGATAATTGTAGTTGAATGTATTGTTTTTGATAGATGATAGATAGAGGCAGATAAAAATATACATATAAAATGGAGATTTTTGTATTAATTTTCAAAGAGAACAAAATATCCAAGCAAAATACAAACATCCTTACTCTGCGCAGCACATACAGAGTCTGTTATTTGGAAGCATATCAGTGTGATGAAACAAAGATCCGAGGAAATCTGCTGCTGCTACTACAACAAATACAATAAATAACATTAAAACAGCAACTCAAACAAAAACAAGCACAAAGTACTACAAAAGGAAAAGACCAACCAGCCAACAAACAACGACAAACAACAACAGCAACAACAACAGCAGCAATAACAACAACAGCAACAACAGCAACAACAGCCACAACAGCAGCAACAACAACAACAGCAGCAGCAACAACAACAACAACGACAGCAACAACAACAGCAGCAGCAGCAACAACAACAACAACATCAACAGCAGCAACAACAACAACAAACAACACCACCACTCCGTAGCAGCACTCCAACAAATTGCACGTATGGAAAAAATAAAAAGATGTCAGTGAAAATATATTTATTGCCACAATGGAGGAAGCACTTTATACTTCACCTTTCAATGTCAAACAATTTTACATACATACTTACCACACACACACACACACACACACACACACACACACACACACACACACACACACACACACACACACACACACACACACACACACACAGATATCGCATACATTTTTCACACCACTAAGGTTTTAATAAGGGACAAACCGTTCAGAGATTGTCAAAAATTAAGATTGACCTCCAGAGGTAATAATCAGCAAATATCACCAAGGGCTCCATAATGTTAAATGTTTATAATTGCAACGAGATACAAAACACACATACAAAACAAAACATACAAAACATCAAATCTTCATTATCAGGGGCCCAACAAAACACATCGCAAACTTTAAGACAGCAAAAAATTCATTATTCAATTGCAACAATCACGTAGCCTACGTACCAGCCAGTGCAATAAGCATCAAACAACAGAACCATAAAGCAACAGAAACAAAACACAAACTCCAACAAAACCATAGAGCAACAGAAACAAAACACAAACTCCTCAACAATTACGTAACGTTAGCCGGCAATATTTTTTGCGGAACAGCAAAATAAATTGTGTCAATTAGTGATGTTCCAGCGGTGAGCAATACATGGTATGCAGTGCTTGCTACACTTTGCAGCATACACAAACACATGCACGTGCAGCGATAAAAAGCTAACCATAAGCGCGCGCACGCACACACACACAATCACAAAATTACTGCTGTAATTTTGCGATTTGTGAGGCTCTACCACTTAACATACGGCTCACACACATACATTAAATATCATCAACAGCAACAACAACAGCAACAACAGCTGCAACAGCAGCAGCAACAACAACAGCAACAACAGCTGCAACGGCAGCAGCAACAACAACAGCAAAGCAACAATAATAATGAATTTGTTAGTAGAAGACAAGTTGGAGCAGACAAAGACAAGTTGGAGCAGACAAACAAGACATCATCATTCCTCTGCAGCGGATTTTCAAAAATTGCCCCATGGCGGTGTGAAAAATTCGGAATACAAAAACACGAGTCAATCCGATCCGGTGGCAGTGGGCACGTTGGGAACAACAGGATTGAGAAAGCGGAAATTTATGGATGAGTTACCTGAAAAGAAAGTTTAAAAATTACCCTGCCCGCCTGGTACTGTTTGTTCCTATATTTCTAATGCCGCTGCAGATAGAAAACTATTTTACACCGCAAAATTTGCTAGACTACACAACCACATGGTGATACACATTATATTTTTATTACATTACATATTACATTATTATATTGTTATCTTTTAATCCAGTTTGAGAACATCTGACATGATTTCATCAACACGCGAGAACGTGAATTAAAAGATAACAATATAATAATGTAATATGTAATGCAATAAAAATATAATGTGTATCACCATGTGGTTGTGTATTTGACCATGTTGTTGTGTATTTGACCATGTTGTTGTGTATGTTGCCATGTTGTTGCGTATGTTAGCATATTTTTGTGAGACACATTTTCATCTGACTGGCTGAACAACTGTGAATTGACATTGACACACGACTTAGAATGGATGGGGAAAGTATTCGCGAACGAACTGCTCTCGCATGGATATATTCCTTGGCCTGCGTGTGTATGTGTGTGTGTGTGTAGATGTGTGTGTGTGTGTAGATGTGTGTAGATGTGTGTAAGTGCATGTGCATGTTTTTGTGCGTGTGTATGTTAGTTTTTTAGTGTGTGTGTGTGTGTGCGTGTTTATGCAGATATGCGTGAGGTACGTGTCATAACACCATCACAATTAAAATTTTCATAACTATTATTAACACTATCAAAACTTTTCACTACTTATTCAAGTAACTGCAACTGCAAGAATTACAAAAACTTGTTTTTGAAGTAAACTCTTTGGGAGTAAACACTGCTGCCACAGCTGCCACAACTACTACAACTTATTCATACTGGTGACAGCAAGCCAACAAAAAAGAACACAACCAGCAGCATAAAAGCGAGTGCGTTTGACACACAAAAAATAAAATTGTATCAAACCTTCGGAGAATAAAACAAGTATCTTGCACGCAATCAAAATTTGCCACACAAAGAACGCCAACGTTCCAAGAGATTTTTCAGCAAATAGAACACAAAAAAAAACAAACAAAACAACACTGATTTTAAAACCTTCAAAGAAAACTTGAAAAAGGTTAAAAATTTTTTTAAGGGAAATGAATGAGAAAAGATTTTATATGCATCTCCTACTTTATTCTGCTGTTCCAAGTGCAATTCTGCGGCTGGCTCACAGGCTGGCTGGTGACAGATGATGGGGAACCTTGATTAATTAATAAATAAACAGATGCGTTTCATCTGTGTGTGCGTGCGTGTGGGTATGGGTTTGTGTAATGTGATTTAATGAACACACACACACACACACACATATATATATATATATATATATATATATATTAGGGTATTTGTATGGGCTTGTTGATCAGATGTGTGGACCTAAGTTATATGGAGGCGTCCTATGTGGTGTTGTTGTTACTATGTGTGATGTGTGTGTTATGTAGTGTGTGTGTTTGTGGTGTGTGTGTGTGTGTGGCTTAAATTATAGAATGTGTTTGGGCTGCTGAACCAACTCTGCGAAACATGATTGTCAAATAAATTGTCATGTTTCATAATTATCTTGTTATTTATTATACTCCATGCAAAATCTTCACGAAGCCCGATCATAATTATTTGATTTAGAATGTTTGTTAGAAGCAAAAACCAACAACATCCTCCCGAGTTTGCAGATTGTTCATCGAAAATAAGATTTGAAAATGCGCTGGTTTGTTAACTCTTTTGTAACCCGGCCATAAACTTTAAAGCAAACACTCAAACAAAAAAAAAACAAATTGTAGTAGAGAATTCCATCGGAAAGTTCTTTCGGCGAACTTAAGAAGATTTTCGCAGCAATAAAGTTGAAACGCGATAGAATGTTTCCTTGTTTGATCTTACGCTTAACATCACCATCAACGTGCATATCTTAGTAACGTTTCATCGTGTCGTCGTCATCATTGTGTACGTAGCTACAGTTGCAAATTACAAACTTGGTTTAAGGTAGTAGAGCTAGAGAACAAAAGCTAAAACTTATAAGTTGAATCATATTTGTTGAACGACATACACACAAAGAAAAATAACGAACAACGACAAAAACACACAAGCATACCCAAACAACAACTGACAAACAACAACAGAAACATCGAGAAACTATCACCAACAACAACAATATCAGAGCAGTACCTTTGCCTAGGCTACGAGACCACTGAAGAAGAAGCTGTCACGTGAGACTATGATGATGATGATGACGATCCGGATGATGATGATGATGTCGATATTGATAATGATAGCAATGATGATGGTGAACTTGATATTGGTGGTTGTTATGGTGCTGATGTTCATGTTAGCGATGTGATGTCGCTATCTCTTATTGTCACCATCCTTTTTATCTTCATGAATATCCTCCAATCATTCCTGAAATGCTTCAAACTTGAAGAAATCGTGAAATGGTTAGCGGGTTTGATCCCTCTCCTCTCTTGCAGTCTCCGGATTTAGATTCGAAACATTCCGCGTCTATCATACAAAAGTGTACCATCCCTCATTTTACACGTATTCATTTACTCATTCATACTCAACATGTCACACAACACATCTCCATTTCCTGGTTCTTGCAATTGGAGTAACTTTCAACTTTTGTCTTCCGCACGTATTTGTAACCGGTTCACAAAGCCAACCATTTATATTATTTACATCCATTTAAATGTACTTTAAATTAAGCAATGTTCAAGAATCAAATATACAAACTCAATTATATTTATGCCACAAAATTTTTTCACATGTGTAAGCTGGGGTCATGCTTTTCAAACAATTAAAAACGTTCACTCCTAAATTATGTATCTACTACAGATTTTTTATTCAAATAAACATGACGCTTTTATACTGAAACAGACAAAGACACACAACTAACAACAAATACATAAAAATACAAACACAAACACACAAACAAACACAGATACAAACAAAGTTACACATACACACACACCCACAAAACTACAAACATGCCAAAAAAACACATTTAAAATAATCTTCAATTGATTTATTGCAAGAGGTGAGGAATATTCAATAGAAAATCCATACGCATAAATAAGATATACATTGTGGATGCACACATGCGACATAAAAGGCAAATATCCCAACGCTGAAGTTCAAAAACAAAAACATAGGATGAACATAACATGCAGTATACAGCAGGACCAACATGCAGCATGCCGCATATAACATGCAATGAATGGCATGAGTGGAGCTACATACATTAGCAACAGTAGACAACATACAATGGCTTCAGCATACAACAACATCAACATGCAACTTGCATCAATATGCAACATGCAACAACATACAACAACATAAACCATGCAGCAACATTCACAGCCAACTGCAACAACATCAACATGCAACACACAACAAAATGCAATTTGCAACAGCATCAAATTGCCAACTGCAACAATACAATACAATTTAAACAATCGAACGTACAACGAAACCACGGACAAAATCTTAATCTTCAAATTCAGCATGGCGTCCTTTCTTATCCGTCACTGATAGTTAATTTAGATTAAATTTCATTGTCAAATTAAATTTAGTGTCTTTACTTTCCGCTTGCGTGTATTTAAGTATAGTTATTGGTATAAAACGCCTCTATGTATGTTTGTGTATATTTGTGTATACTGTTGTATGTTTGTGTATATTTGTTTGTATACATTCTTTCTTGTTTATGTATTTTGTTTGTGTATATTTGTTTGTATACATTACATTCTTTCTTGTTTATGTATTTATGTATGTTTTTGTATGTTTGTGTGAATATTATTGCTTGTTTGTTTAACTGGTCAAACAGAAAATTATCTATAAACAATTATGACATATTTTTTAAAATAATTATTCATCTTTAGGAAGAAAACTGGCAGTGAGATAGTTAGAGAGTTCACTTGGTCGGAGCACCTCAAGTTATACAACGGACTTGAACCGCCTAACACACGTTAGCAATGATGGAATGATGATGGTGCTAGAGAGGATGTTGATGCTGATTCAGCTACTGGTAATGATGTTGTTGGTGTTGTTGTTGATGGTGCTGATGTTTGGAATGGTGATGTTGTTGTTGTTGTTGGTGGTGGTGGTGATAATAAGATTGCCATGTTTGTTTGTTTGTTTGTTTGTTTGTTTGTTTGTTCGTTCGTTTGTTTGTTTGTTTGTTTGTTTGTTTGTTTGTTTGTTTGTTTGTTTGTTTGTGGTTGGGATGATATGGTATGTGATGAGGATATTTGCTGTGAAGATGAAGACATGAGATAAAGATGAAGATGATGTAAACAATAGTATATGTTAACATGATATGATGATATTTTTAATGATGATGAAGATTTAGGATTACATTTCTGTTAATGTGATTGATAATAATGATGATATCACTACCTCATCTGACCACACACTCATGATACAATGATATAATGAAAATGATATTAAATAGCAATGGTAATGATGTGAGTGATGATGAGGAGGAGGATGACGATGATGATGATAAGGATGATGAAGATGACGACGATAATGATGACAAATGGACTCAAAGCAGAATGACAAGAGCTTTCGTCAGTTATAGAAAAACTAAGCTATAGACAAGTAGGGCGACATCTATGAGAGGCAGTTGGCAATGTTTGTTTTGTCAGCAAATTAACGCTGATTGAGTGATTGTCAGGTAGAGAATTTTTTCCCGAAGAATATTATTCCTCCAGACATTCCCATGAATTGTTTATGAGTTTGAGATCATTTTCTAGAAAAATTTTAAGATGAATAACTTTTATGTAACTTTTTTTTAAACCATACATAAAAAATTAAAAGCCAAAACTATGTTATAAAATAAAATTTATTGAATAAAAAATAATCCAAACATTCATATAGCGCTGCACACACCACTGTTTCATCACAAAAGCACAATTTTCACGTGCAACAAAGCAGTTTATTTATGAACTCAGCATCCCATCCGTTGGTCTCATCTTGAAAGATAATTTAAATTACTACTTCTATTGATTTATTGTTATCCACTTTGTAAAAAGCTATGTGCTGTGCAGTGGAGCAGTTGTTTGTTGGCTCCTGAAAGATGATTGATGACCGCTCAAACAGACGCACATGATTTCAACAGTAATTCGAAAGTATTTGGGGACAAAATATTTTTTTTTAAATTCTCAACGTAGTAAATGCTGCCAACAAAACAAAATATGCACAACAAAAAAAGTGCTGTCATGAAACTGTTGAGTCAAAAACTAAATAATTATTAAGTGGCAGTTTAATCCATGTTACACATTTCTACGTCCCAGTGTTGTTTATTCATTTGAAAGTGTCCCATGTTTATGAACAGGGTATTTCTCATAACTGGTGCACGGTATGCTCTACATTGTTTGCATTCTTCTCATTGATCTGCTCGTTTCGTTCTGTTGCATCAGAGGATGTGTTGTTATGATGTTTTGTTGATTTCTGTATATGTTTGTGTAAAGTTGAGTCTCTCATTGCCGATGGTTGCATTTTGTTGTTGTTGTTGTTGTGTTGTTGTTGTTGTTTTTGTGTTGTTGTTGTGTTGTTGTTGTTGTGTTATTCCGTTGCTGCGTTTTGTTGGCGTGCAGTTCTGGTTGCAGGGCTGTTGTGCTACGTTACATGAAGTTGAGTATAGTTTCTGTTTCGAGATATTATTGGTGAGTGTAGATTATATGGAGAAAGATAGATAGATAGATAGATAGATAGAGAGAGAGAGAGAGAGAGAGAGAGAGAGAGAGAGAGACAAATGAAGTGAAAAAAAGAGAGACATATATATATATAGAGAGAGAGAGAGAGAAAGAGAGAGAGAGAGAGAGAGAGAGAGAGAGAGAAAGAGACCGCCTGACAAATGCGCGGGTGTATGACTTGCGATGTCGAATCACCAGGATCAGTCGTCTGTTAATATTGAATAATACAAATCAACAAACTTGCCAACAAAATATTTCAACAACCACATCAAAAACTAACTTGACAACAGCAAAAATATTTTCGAGGAAAACTATAAAGAAACAATAGTCATGAAAAACTGAAGCAAAATGTAAATGTGAACAAAAAATACAAAAAAAATTTAAACCACATTACTAAAGATAATAAAAAATACCGCTGTTACTCAAAATAAACTAAAGTATGTACACAACAACAATAACAACAACAACAGTACACAACAACATTACACTAAACACACAACAACGACAGCAACATAACACAACAACATTACACTAAACGCACAGCAACAACAACATCAACATCATCGTCAACAACAAGAAAAACAACACAGCATCAAAGCAACAACAACTACAACACAAAAAACTTACCTAAAAAAGCAATATCATGTTGGCATATTGAGACATGGATGCTTTGATGCATGAATGCGTTGATTTATAAATATATATCAGTGAATGGATAAATGAGTGAACGAATGAATATATGAATAAATATAAATTAATAAAAAATGAACGTATGAGCGAATGAAGGAATGAATGAATGACTATATAAATGATTGAATGAACGAATGAACGAACGAATGAATGAGTGCATGAACAAACTACAAATTTGTGCATATATGATTGCAGAGAATGAATTTATGACACAGGCAGGCATGAATACGTATGAGCAGATGAATAGAAGACTGTATACATTCTTAAATATATGAATGAACGAAAGAACGCGTTAACGTACGAATGAATGAATGAATGAATGAATGAATGAATGAATGAATGAATGAATAAATGAATGAATGAATGAATGAATGAATGAATGAATGAATGAATGAATGAATGAATGAATGAATGAATGAATGAATGAATGAATGAATGAATGAATGAATGAATGAATGAATGAATGAATGAATGAATGAATGAATGAATGAATGAATGAATGCATGAATGAATGAATGAATGAATGAATGAATGAATGAATGAATGAATGAATGAATGAATGAATGAATGAATGAATGAATGAATGAATGAATGAATGAATGAATGAATGAATGAATGCATGATTTGATACTCAAATGACCAACGGTATGACTAAATGTTTTAATGCACGTTTGAATGAATGAGTGACCTAAATAAATAAACATATGAAATAATAATTGCATACATAAACGAACGAACGAACGAACGAACGAACGAACGAACGAACGAACGAATGAACGAACGAACGAACGAATGAATGAACGAACGAACGAACGAACGAACGAATGAATGATTGATTTAATTATTTTAAAAATGCATAAGCAAATAAATGAATGAATGAATGATTCTAAAAATGCATGAGCGAATGAACGAAAAAATGAATGAGAATAAGTAAATGAATGCGCGAGCAAATACTCATAGAGTGGAACTGGAACATGCGGGCATGCATTCGTGTGAAATAACAGGCAATCACATTAGCTACACATTGTAAACCCTCATTAGTGTCCGCCTGATGAGATGATAGCTTAATGCAAATTAATAACATCCCTTCTCTCGGCTTTGCTTCTCTTGACGATGATGATCACATGATGGTGATGAT